TTGTTAATTCCAATACTAATGAGCACATTCTAGATACTACAAAGTTTTTATCCAATACAATGTCGGACAGACTCAGGATGAACTTAAGAGGAAGACGTAAAACCGATTACAAACACATATACTCCTATTTAAGCTGTGGCTGATGTGGTGTGTAAATGAACTAATGACACCTTTGTACTTGTTGAATGCTTGATTTCGAATTCTAAATACAGTGCATTCGTTTGTGGTTATCTAGTACTTCTTAGTCCGATTATGTTATTTCTGGGATTCTTAATTTATACTATAATTCAAATAATTCTGACTATCACAGTAGTTTCACTAGTTATTTGTCTGGGTGACGAGGTAGAGCCACTGTACTTTACCTGTAATTTACGTTCTGTTAAGAATAAAGCAAACCATGAATACTGTGGGTTATCGATTCCTAAGTACTTCAATTTGATGAAAAGCCTTTTGTGTGAAACCTTATCAAAAGTCTGAGAATAAAGCTGATACAAAGAACCCGCTGTCTCGTTTCACAGTTAAATCAACCAAGCAATTTAATAGCCATTTATGACGTGGATATCAGAAACCCATGCTGGGTGGTGGAGTCTAGTTTGTTAGTAAGTAAATGCTGAACTACCACCGCCTTAACTACTTTTTCCATCTAATTTTCCGTCTTAGTTTTGGGGATATGTTAAGACAGGATCTTAGGCAAATGTTGAAATTTACAGGCGCATAAACCTCAGTGGTATCTAGAGTGATATTAAGAGTTAGAAGGAGATACAATAAATGAGATGGTTAAGTTGCTTGGAGAGTTTAAGCAGAAGGGGGGAGTGGGAATGCTGCTTGATTAAAACTGTACGAGAAAGATGAATTTATATTTCGCATATGGATTGAAACGACTCCGGTTAGATGCCTCTACAGAGGTTTCACTGGGGACTGTACTTCAAAAAAATATCGTGTAGGCTGACTGTGCAATGTACCGTGATTTGTGTCATGTTCCTGATAGTAAAGCTTGTAGCTCCGGCTAAGGCTATTTACATTAGTGTTAGCCTGAAGTGGACCTGCTGTGTGTAATTGGAAGTTGCTATAGCTGTTTTTATACTCTGAAGCTATTGGTATTTGGTCGGTCTGCACCGTGGAATGTGGAATTTTTTCTGAATGCACTGACGATTGTGATACTGAAGATTTGAGACGGGGTGTGCGATAAAAAATCTATTACTTCTACACTTACTTATAGCTATAGGCTTTAGTGGATGAGTAGTACGTAAAGCACTTCAGTAATCATTATTAGTTTGCGTGCTCAAAGGTTGATTGTGCTTGTTCTAACCACTAGTTCTGCTGTTTAGATGTGTTGAAGTTATATGATACCAGAAAATTGAATATTTCAACTGTTCCTGGAAGGGCCATAGAGAAGTCGAGTTGAAGCATATTTATATATGTGGTGAGATTTGCAGTTTCACCCTTCTTTGCCAGAATCGAAGAGTTTCCTCCTGTTCGTGAAATTAATTGAATTTTATTCGGGTTATCTTGTGTTGTACCTTCAGGAGAACTAGCTTTACCTGGTTATGTTCAGTTGGTTGTGTGTCGTCATATGACTCACATTCAAGCACTTTACTATGTGAGAAATCTGGACTAGAAATAGAAATGTCGTTATGTTTTTTGGTATGAGTTGGAATCCATATCCTAATCAAAGATTTCTGACTTCCAGACTTATCTAGGTCTACGGAGTGATCTGTCTTTTATGTATCCAGATCATGCTCAAGGGGAATATGTTTGATACACTTTACACAATTGCAAGCCACCTCTCGATGTTCATTTGCTGTAACTTAACCACGCGATTTTATTGCTCTACGTTTTCTTACATAACATTGGCGTCGCTCTTTTCCTTAATACTTCAGCTACAAACAATTAGGATGCATCCAAATTTAGTGAGTTGTTTGGGGTATTTGTCACTATTCGGGACCCATATATGTTAGAGGTGTGCAAACTATTTAATTTTACTGCTAATTTTAGCAAGTGAGTTTTGTGACTGATGGATATCTGTACTAGAGTGGTCGGTATTTTGTAGTGCACACGGTAAAATATTATACTCCCTGCCTTTGAATTTTTGTATTTTGGCCCTAGTGAATCATGCTGACAGATACACTTTATTGACTTTTCAGTGCGCGTGGGTATCGTACCTTTTATATCAAGCAGTTTTACCGTCAGCATACTGTCCGAAAAGGTGGAGGGGTTTTGGTTTGGAAATTCAGGTGGTGACAGCAATTTTTGTAGATGAGAAGGGAAGAGTTCATAAGCCGAAGGATTGGCTTCGTCTAGTACTGATTTATAAAACGTAGGGATTACAGATTTCGACCGTTTCGTTGGTTTAGAAGTAAGTAACGTTTCTTTCTTCCTGGGATTACTGGTCACAACTGGATGTTGAGTGGGTAAGGAGCTCATTAACCAAATAGAATCTATGAGTATGATACTAAACTCAGTGTCTGTGGGTATATGAAGGATTTTAGTGACTAAACGTAAGTTTATTGAGTACAACAGCAGCTATCTATGAAGTATTTATGCATCACTTTGTATAATCAGGAAACATTAATGAGTTTACGGTCTGTTATGGACTTATATAAAATATTTATAAAAGTTCATGGTGGATATGTGCTAACTGGTAAATTAAATTCAGAAACCAACACTTATGTAAAAAATATACTCAATATACAAGATAACATGGTAGTTAAAAGGCAATACAATCTACATATGAATACTGTTGCATGAGGTTCTGTCGCTCACATCAGTACCGAGAGTAGAAGCTGACTGTTCAATGAATCCCCCATATCTAGCTTACATGTTCATAGGTATTTAACCTATGAACTGCCACTTAACAAGTAAACACCCGTTTATCTTCAAATGCTTCAAACCGCTGCACTAGTGTAATCCCTTGATCTTGTGGAATTTTGGCGTAGGTATAGGGTTCTTCCCCTGAGTCATATTATAATTTATAGTTCTCCCCAGATTTTTGAGAAAACCACAAACTGATGGAAATGTGGATGATTTTTCCAAAGTCAATGGAAATTCCATGGATAGAACCTGAAGATGGTATAGCGCAGTTGCTTTAAAAATGGATTTGTTTTGTACTGCATAGTTTAAGTCTTCTAAGAGCGATTCTGACAGATAATATTGCTTTTTGTATGAAAAAAAGTTAATTCCACATTCCAGCACCAACGTTTGGGTTTTTTTGACGTCATATTAGCAAAAGGTAAAGAAGCGTTTGTTCCGTTCCACTTTTTCAAGAACCTAACGCCATGCTCGTGAGTTGTTGTTGATGTAACAGTCTTCGACTGCCCCCTTAGTCCAGCCGATCTACAGTTAACTGTTTCTTTTAGATTGATGATGTTGGACGTGATGAAAGAGTTAAGAGACAGATGGCAGTCGTCAGAGTGCCTAACTTGATGGGCCGCAAGCGGTTGACATTTCACAGTTTGAAGAAGTTAGATAAGTTCCAAAGGAATTATGACTTATGCGTTACTAAGAGATGGACCTGTAGCACTATGTATCTGAATGATGTACAACGTTGTAACAACGCCGTTCTATTGTGCGATGGAACCGACCCGAGGAACTCTAAACACAGGACGCACGTCACTACTCAGTTCGTTCAAAGTTGTGGAAAAGAGGAATGGAAGTTCCACTTTTTGAACAGTTTGAACACAGTTTAAATGTAAAAGATGTTAGTGGGGAAAACGTGATCGTTGATACGAACATTTAAAATCCACGGAGCCGTACTTTCATATCCATATGTAACAGCCAAGTTTACTCGTTCATCACATTAGTTTCCATGTGTCTCAATGTGTGCTTATTAGTGTACTTTTCTTATAAACCTGTACCAGTCTGTTTTCCTATAGACGTCATTCCCTTAGTCCAATGCCCAACAAATGTTCGAGAGGTCCTGAGTAACAATTACTCGTGACAATTTGGAGCGGTTCTCTAACGTAGTTCGTGGTTTATTTTATCCATAACAATTCCAGCCTATCATAACTTCAATACAATTGACCACGATTCTAGTGTCTTTGTCATCAGAAATCCATTGAAATAAACGGGAGGCGTTACTTTTAAATCAAACGACGGCTTCTGTTAATTCAGCACAGTCGTATTTATTCTATCGCTATACAACATGATCATTGCTGTATGTGTTATTTGATTTGCATCCTAAATGCCTATTCAGGAATATCACTGTTTAAGATTCCACTCAATCGCTTGATTATATGATACAAATACAACGGTAACTTATACTTCTGACAAGGATAAAACAATCGGTAGAAGACGTAGCCCAGCGAACAATTATGGTTTTTCAATGTCAAGATTCGGGGGTTATGAGAAGGGAAACAGTTGAATATCTTGCCTCCATGCAATCCCATATTTGATGTTGAATATTACAAAAGTACATCAAGGCCATATCTAGCTTTCCTGACATTAGGATGTGCTTATAAATAGTCCGTAAAGTATTACACCCATTTTCCAATACATATCATTAGATCCACTCATAGAATAGAAGTTTGTTGTGGTCTAAATAGAGACAAACCACGCAATAAAATTTCGTAAAGGATAAAGTTAAGGACTCTGGGTGTGTTCTAATAGGCACTTATTAGGTGACTCGCACTTCCAAGGTTGCTAACAAGCAGTGAAAAGCCAGAATTTTCTTGAGGTTTCAACTAGTTATCATGTGAAAACTTTCCGCCTGACTAATGCGGTTTCAATTTCAAATGAATAGTTGAGATTCTCGAAAACAATCTTCTTTCATTCCGTCTAGAACCCTCTTGAAGTCTTGAGGAATAACTTGCCCCAGATGGTTGCTTGAGCAATTACAGAAATATGGATACATATTGTTTGGTAAAAATCAACCTGTGTTCCCATCCTTAGCTATTCTGAAAAGCTATGCAAGTAGCTAAAAGGCCCTCCGACTTCCTTAAGGTTGAAGGCAGAACTTGATTTTCAAATGTCGTTAAGATGATTCAGGTTGTTGCGGTGTCTAAGGTCATTTCAAGGCAAAGCGCTTCTTGGCACATGTTCAAATTGTCTCAAGTTTTGTTAGCCTTCTCTCTCGGTTACTTCTGCTTCGTGTCGTGGTCGTTGTTTGAAGTATTCTTCCCTTCGAACTGTAAGGGACCATCAGGATGCATAACACCAGGATGGAAGCCAGACGACGAACTCAAGGTATTCCTTATTTATATTTCTATTTTCCTTGAAGATACATTTACAATTTATAAAAGGAGCGGTTTTCATTGGAGATATTTCAACAACTGAGACTTTTAAAATCAATACTGGATTATTAAAGTAACTTTTTTGAGTTCTAAACTCACTTTTGAAGGAAATATAACTGCATGGTCGACATACCTTTGACTAGCGATTCTATCGCAACTGTTCGCTTACGCTTGCTGACGAGTACCGGCTCAATCATTTCGAGCAGTGATTTTAGCCTATTGACTCATAAGGAGGCAACTCGTACAGCTTTCAACTTGATGACCAGCCATGTAAGTTCGTTTGATTTTTATTGATTCTGCTTGGTATATTAATACTGTTAACTGGAATTCAGTCAACAACATATTAAAAGTTTGGCATTTATCTTGAAGTTTTACTCAAAAACTCAATGTTTCAATAAAATTCAGGCGTTAAGTTGTGCTAGTTCATCTCGCTTACTTGCAATGTAAAATATTCTCATGCTTCACTTCCAGAAGTAATGTTCTTAGTACTTCAAATATATTACACAGAGTTTGAATAAATCCTAAGCTATTAGTTTGTATGAATTTCTCGGCAGGGATCACCCAACAATTCAAACAAGGATCATGGTTTGCTTGCGCCGTTTTGGCTATCAACACTGCGTGTATATGTTCTTCAAACCCCAGTGTCCTTCAGTCGATATAATATGCCTGGTGAAATAGTTCGACGTATTCAGCTTAGTTCAAAGGGGTATTTGCCAGTGATATATGTTAACCCCAGTTTTCAAGCCTCAAGTGATTGGTTAGAAGTCAACCAACCACCTGAAAATCGTCGATTAGAAATGGTCCTATCCATTGAGCCACTTTCGATTGGACATTTGCGTTTGCGGTGTATGTTGGAGGCAGTGGCTGATCAGTTACTCTCTTATGGTAGGTTGTTTCATAATTAAAATTTAGTTGCATATCCCAAATACATTACTTCCCAATCGAGTGTGTCGTTTCGTCAGTTCTTGTCCAAAGAGGCGTAGGCTCAAAGCTAAGAGAAATTAGACTAGTGTTTTGAAAAATGGAAGTTATCTGTTGCATTCAGTCATCTTCAGAACCGATATCAACTTGTCGTTTACAAGTCTCCTGAATTTTCAAAAATATAATTTGAAGATATCACGTACCTCAGTGATGTCAGAACCATGGAAACAGAAATACTCTAGTTGACCCCCGTATGCTCAAGTGGTCTCCTTTAACATCGAATAGATTGCGTGAGAAGCATTCACTCACGTTTTACTCGTTCGTTTGTTAATTTCAGTTTACTACTCATAAATAACGCTATTAAATTTCTCAAAAACACTACATCTGAAAAGGCCTAAAATTTAGGCTAATAACCTAATCGGACTTCAAAAATTGATTCACTCTGCACACAGTCTTGTCTAATTTACAGGGAACTTAATGCTATATAATTTGTCCAAACAACAGTGAATCGTCTGTGATATATTCTTTTGGTACAAATAAGGATATTATCAAGAATACTATTTGATAGGATAAACGTCAGTTAATAAATATTATGTTTATCATAAACTACTTACGTAACTTAGTTTTTGGACAAGTATTGATGCATGTTTAAAACACTGATTAACATTCAGCAAACAGTCTTACCCGTCCCGTACCACAAAAGATGAACAATATTTGGTGTTTAATGAGGACTTATGGTGGCACCTCTTAATTTGCTTGCTTCATGAGGCCGAATTCACATAACAAGGTGTTAGATTCGGCGGAAGGACGACATGGGAAAGGTGCTATAACCAATTTTTCCACAGGACGGCAATAGATGAGCTGATAAGAATTTAGAAGCTTATTATTGTCGGTGATAGTTACTGTTAAATTACATGGTTGATAATAACTAAGTTATTGTAGTTAAATTGGGTTATAAATCACATATCATCACAGGTATTACCATATCTTTCGGTCAAGGTCACTACTTTGTATGAAACTATTAATGGAGACCAGACTTACTCAAAAAATTATCTGGCTTAATCAAGTAGTTTGTTCTAGTAAGAGGAATGAGGAATGGCGTATATCAATAAGGATAGATTTAATAATTTAATGACAATACCATTAATATATTATTTAGCCAAATATCGTAAGGTAAAACCAAGCATCAAAAAGTCCCACATCGATTTCCGAAGTGATGCAAAACATATTTAAAGATACAGGGTTAAATTTTTTATACCCCACCATAGTGTAGTTAGACGGTGTAAAAAGTAACAATGGTTATAGCTTCTTGGAAATGGATGGTCACAGTTTCAGAAAAGAGAGATTGCTTCACTATAAAAAGATTTTGAAGGGTATGAAGTATCGTACGGGCAAACCCAGGTTACCTTGATGTTACTACGAAGTAGCCGATGGAATATATTTTTGCTCTAGATAAAGACAAAGCATATGCTAGAAGAGTAGCCAGTGAAATATAAGGCTGAATAGCTTCATTAACACATTCGACTCATCAAGTCGTAGCTATGGCACTTGCCGGTTTGTCGTATTTAGTGTCAGCTGAATTCCCAACTTAAGTGAAACAACCACCATCAGTCGTCTTTACTAAATCCAAGTTTGTACACTAAATACCGTTTGAATGTAAGACGGCTGTGGGAAGAGCGAATTTCTTTGTACATAACGAACAGGATAAAAGACAAATTCTTAACATTTTCTGCAGTTCAGAATCTGGAATGGTTGGTGAAGTTTTTTCACTGGTATTCCCGATATAACATACAAAACCACCACCTTTGTATACTTAGGTGTGCATACTTCTTACCATGAAATTTAATACGACTATTTCATTATTTTATATTCTGATGAGCGAAAAAAGTGCAAGTTTGCTCACGTCTAACAAACTGAGCGAACTGCGCTTGGCTTTAAGTTTGTCATTTGTCATAACCGATTGAGAATATTCAGCCTTATCAACATTTCGACAAGTATATCCAAATGCTGAACAACCAAGTTACCTGTTCCATCTAAGCCATAATATATGGCGTAAACTACACCGATCACCAAACTTTCAACGACGTTATAAGTCAGTTGGTAATTTTGTTTTGGAGATCCGTCATTTGTTAGAGTTACTTTTTTGTCGGTCACATGCAACAGGATATAATGGTTTAATAATCAATATTCTCCGCTGAAAAAAGAGAAACCAAAGATTTAACAAATTATTTTAAAAATAATTGAATCTGAAAACAACAAAAGACAAAAACTGCAACCATTCATTTTTCTAAATTGTACTGTGGAACGTCTGCAGTTCTGTTGCAGATCTTAAAATGAAAAACACAATGAAGGGATAGTGTAGAGGCTTTAACCAACACACTGGTTTCGCTCATCTGATGTGAAAATATACTGATCCTCCAATAAAAGAAATAGTCTGAATGAGTTAAAAATCAAACGATTCATTACAAGAATACAGAAACATCACTTATAAAGAAACCAAAAGGAAGTATCATCACTCATTACACTGATGGTAGAAGATTATAAAAACAAATATGTACTAGACTGTCGAATGTCATACAATTCGAATTTGCAAATTTAGATTTTTAAGTTGTGTTGCGAGAATTTCAAAATGTAGTTAACATTTTCATTCACCTTGAGTTAATACGTCACCGTTTTGGGTCTCTCTTGATTTATTGTGTCTAGCTAATATATTTTTGGCATTATCGTACTATTAAGTAGCCCTTTTGATCTCCTTCATTTTACATCCCTTTATTGAAGGACAAACAGTCGAGTTAGCTCTGATATAATGTTTTATATAGTCATATGATTGGTACTATTATTTTGCATCTAAATGGAACTGACGTCGTGGTTTTTCTAAAGTGTTTTCAGTTTTCCATCGATCTGTACATGTAAGATAGTTTTCAGATGTATTCTTAATAACTGATGTGAAACTTCCAATATCTTTAACAATGTCCATCAATGTAAGTAATGCTTTGTCATTTTCATAGGTATAAAATCAAAGGAGATTGACGAGATACGTGGTATTTTTCTCGACACCAATTTATACCTTCTGCTGACCACATTATTTGTTTCTGTTTTCCATGTAAGTTCAGTTCGCATAATCTCTTTTACCTGGTAGCGTCATGAAAGCAAAATCCTAAAATCGCACACTATTTATAGTTAAATAATTTACAAAACTATGATCTAAGTGTTGGTTTCCATATTCTCATACTCCTACAGAAATATAGACTGTTCACAAAATTTAAACTGAGTCATTTTTGGAATAACTTAGGTCTAGGTAACGTAGTTAGGTGTTAAAATGCAAGTGACTTCAGTTACTCTTGGCATTTTTCGTCTACTGATTCATACAACCTAAAAGTATTTCTTGAAATCAATCTAATAAATTAGGTTGCTCGCAGATTATTGTTTATTATTATGATGTTCGTTTTAATCACATAGAGGAGTGGTTCAGCTCGTTCGTCTACTTTCAGTTCATTGTAGTTACTAGCCTCTAGAAAGTGTAGATTGTTAGGCTCCCATAGATTTCACTATACTTATAATTATCATTTTATTAAAACAATGGCTTTATTGTTTCGACGATAATATTTCGGTAATTAATTAAGTCATTGTTTTGAAAATATTTATTTATTATTATTTATTTTAACACATGGGTATTGGTACAAGGAGGCACCAAATACATATGCGCCACACAAATCTCGTTTGATATGTGTAAGGGCTGTGATATTGCCCGGGCGCCCAAACCGAAGCAGGTTGTTTTAAAAATAGCATCAGCTTCTAATATTTGGGCGAATTGATTCTATTACCGCCTCTCTTCTTATCTGTGTGTTCACAATTACGCTCCAGTCAGCTATTATCCACAACCAGACAGTGGAACATCGATACCGAACATTTATCTCAGCGGTCTTGTGTAATTTTCACAAGGTTAAGTAGAATGGCAGGTTCTTAGTCAACTCTGCCTTTTTATAAGGTCAGTGGTCCATACTTGTCAATTAGATTAACTGAGATATAAAGTAGTTTGTTAGCTGGACTCAATTCCATTCAGAAAGTTGCCTCGATACATACAAAAGGACGAGAATCTCATGATAAAAACAATGGGATCGCTTGGGTTATTTGAATGTCTAAAATATTACCTTTAATCAGTGGGTGCATGGCTAAAGGTTAGTAACTGCGAACTCGATGAAAATGATCAAAATTCAGAACTGAACTTTGATCTGTCGATCACACGTTTACCCTTCGCTCGCTTACATTTGAGTTTACTCAGATCCGTTAGTATATAGGTCATGTTATTGAATAGCATACTAAGAAGATGTACAAACCTGTTTAATACCGTTCAGTAGAATACTACTACTGGAGTCATATCACTCGTTTAAATCGAGTAGTATTCGTTAGTGATGCTTGTTTTCTCTATTCTTTTAGTTCGTTTTAGGTATGCTTCTAGAGGTAAAAATTCCTCCATCTGACTTTTTTGGGTTCATAAGTTCGTGGAATAAGGTGTGTTATTCCTAGGGTGATCTTTAGTTTGATCGAAATTTATCAGTGAAGATCTGTTCTGTAAACACTATTCTTTTTTTCATTTTTGCATTTATACGCATATCCTATTTATCTATTGACTTTCTTCTTTCATCAGTTTTTATCTCATGCTATTGTTGAGTATGTAAATCCTCGTTCGTGTTTATTCAAAAAGTTCTTATTTTGTTACTTATTTGTTAGAAGTAGTATAAATCTGCAAACCATATTAATTCTTATCAGTCTCCAGGTTTTCAAAGAATTCAGTGTTACCTTTTTTTATAAAACTTTTATAAAGAATTATATACTTTTAAGCGAGATTTTTCTGTGTCTTTTCCACTAAATATTATTTACCAGTATTATGACGTTTCAGTGTCATTTGTCTTTCTAATCGATTATGGGATTAACAAACGTGAGCTTCTAGTGGGAGATGATAGATTGCTTTATTAATAAATCATTTACGTTCGCTTAATGTGACTATTTATCTCACTTTTATCGTGTACATTTCATGATATGAATCGCGAACTAAATGCTCCTTCAAATGGATTTTTGTATTCCTTAAATGATTCTAGCTGTTGTTCAGTTTTCTGGCGTTTAAAAATGATATTTCGTTTTGGCGTCGGTCAGATAATTCAGTTGGAATTTCTTTACGAACTAGTAAGTAAGAATAAGTATGTCCTGTTAATTATTTTAAGTATCTCAAGAATTTAAGTGAAATTTCATCCCCTGAAAACATTTTGACTGATTTTTTCAACTTTCCAGTTGCTTATTTTACATTTAGACTGTAGAATATTTTTGATCCTACAGGTATTTTTTTGTCACATATTTTGTTAGTTCCTTCGCCTTTTTCCCTAGAAATAATAAGAACGGTTTATAGTTGAAGTTGTAAGGCTGTTTTAGAATACATTTACATCAACTTCCAGATTTTTCTCAATTTATGAAAACAATTTAACGTCACGCTATTCATTGACAATTGATTCGCGTCTATATGAAGGTGTATTAATTCTTGGTTAACAAATAAGGCGAAGGGATCATGGTTTTTTATTCTGAGACACTGGATAACATACCGCAGTAGTATTTATATGAGAAAATAGTATCAAGTAGGAGGTAGTACAACAAATAAATTTAGATTCCTAATGGGTTTATCCTTTTGGTACAGCAGGAACTACGTACACTTTAATTTCATTATTTTTATATGTTTTGCACATGGCACGTGACTGCTAAAATCTACTTACTGGTGAAATAGAAATTAAGTAAAATGTGCTACATTTAATGCATTCCTACCTTAGGGTATGATTATTTCCGATAATATAGTAGAAACTATATCAGCATTGTTATCCTCCACCAAATTACTATGGTAAAATTCAATTGAAAAAAAGTTTCTGCATAATAAAAATACGTCACTACTTAATATAATGGAGTAGTGTTGGAAAGAGGAATCCTTAGATTACCAGCTTATAAGTGCTATCTGATTTCTATCCTATTACTCGTTTGGAATGAGGCGTTAGTTCTTAAAGGGGCTCTAATCTCAACTATTGGTTTAAGGGTTCAAACCTTACTCCATCTACTTAGGCTTTTACGGTGGAGTAATACCAGTGGGATTCGAACCTGATATATGGCTTTCAGAGGACTAACCTGCTATTGGTTACTAAATGGGATTAACCGTTTATATCGCTTGGTTTATTTTTTGTGTTCTTTTAACGGATTAAAGGTAGTCAGAATGTATTCTCATTTTCTAGATTTATTTTTAAGTACATCACCCATCGTAATTTAACATAATGCTCATTGACACAGTTCGTTTGAGCCATGCTACAATGAACTGATAGGTCTCACTCACTAATTATGTGTTTAAGTATTCCAATAATTTTTCTGAGAGCTAATGATACCAACTTTATTATCCAATTCAAACTCAATTCGGTGTAGCGGGGTTCGAATCTGCGACTTAATAATTAAAAGTTGACTGTTTTGACCACTTAGTCACCATTGGCTATACCATGGAGTGTAAAACGTTTTTTAATTCAACTTATGTCTCTCTACTATTTAGTTCACAATTTCTCTATCTTTGTTTTTTCATATGGTGAAACGAAGTTGTGTGGAGATTCGTCGGTTCCTTAATTATATTTCTACATTTATGCGAAGAGAAAAGTAGCCTATTAGTTTCTGTTCCAATGGGAATATCTACTTTGATAGAATTGTGGAAGTTAGGTCGAATGACTAAATTTTCTATTAGTTTTTATCATGGTGTCCGATGGGGTAAACGGTCGAAGGAGGAAGAAGCAACCGATCAATTAGATGCACAATTTATGCGTTGGCTGATGTATATTATGATTCCTCTTTGTATTGGTGGTTCGGTTTATTCCTTATTTTATTTACCACATCGAAGGTAGGTAATTTGATAATTACTGTTGATCTCTTTTTTTGCTATATTCTCATTAAACGGTATGGATAGGGTTTTAGTCATTATTAAATATTTTCAATCTGTGAAAATTTTTAAAAATCTCCACATACCTCTTCTGATATTAAATATTTGTTATAATACCTATCCATTTGTTTCTTTTGATCTAATTATCTGTGGATATTGTTGAAATAATATTATTATTTTACTTTTTTGATACCTTTTCTATGGTTTATTTCTTTGAATGCTAACCTTATATTCGTTTATACTTTCAACACGTTTCTTTTTAGCTGGTATTCTTGGTGTTTAGAGACTATGGTTAATGGTAAGTTTCATTTTGCCCACTGAATCAAAATTTATAACTTAGTATTTTAGTACTATGCTTGATTTTAGTAACCATTTTTTAAAGTTATCATTAGTGATGAGTTAATAAATATTCAGATGATTATTTCTAGAGATTTCTTCGACTTCTGTTATCATCACTAATACTATCATTTATCCTGAACTGTAAACTCATTGATGTATATGGCTCTTTGATAGTAATTGCAATAGTAAAGAGATTGTAGAAAGGTTATTTTTAATGAAGAAAATAAAACTTATGCGTGAAAATGCTTTTTAGAAAAACATAGTCAGGAGAGATTTTACTTACTTACTCGTGAAAGTATATTTTACTGTTTTTTGGACAAGATTTCAACTAATTTTGATTTTGAGATATGTATATTAATCCTTTAGATCCGTAATCTATTGAACTGGAGATTAGAGTGAAACATTCTGCTTTTTTCAAGCCATTCTTCAGACTCATTAGGTAGTAAACATTCGAATAGTTGTAATGTACATTAAACAAGTCATTTATGAAGATTAGTGATACAGTGGCTTCTATCTAAATTGATTATAAGTTATCAGATTATGGCTTCATTTTAAACCATCCAGTGCATCTGTGATCTAAAGAATCAACATTTAGGCTTTTTTAAAAATTCCTGTTTGATTATGTTGATCTGTATTCATCGGTTGTCAAACATACAATATAGAAGTTGAAACAATAGGTCGGTCTTACTGTATATTTTCACATTCAAGCCATAATTCATCAGGTATCCAGAGCTAACGAAATGAGGTCGTTCCCACTATTAATCACTTCTGACTTTATGTAGGCATCCTAGCACAATAAGGCATGAACGAGCTGCCGATAACGGGAGTAAAGTTAATCAGTATCTCCCCACTTTTTACGTTAAGTGTGACATCAACACTTGAGAGGCTGTAAGCTGATATTACTTGTGTTGTAAATTCTCCATATTTAAAGGTTTAATTTTAAGCGTGAAAGTCAGTTTTATTCACTTCATGATATGTTTATTTAGTGCACTTTGGATCGATCACGTCCCAGATTTGAAATTATCATATTCTAATCAATTAGTTACTTGACGTAGTAGTGCATCACTTCATCATATTTTCTGCGCATTATTATTATTTCCGGTGTTTTGTCGACAATTTAGTATTCTCATATGTTTATCAATAAAACGTTATTATCCTTTTGTAGGTGTTTACGCTTTTGGATTACTATTAATGACACCTCAACTTTTCCTCAACTATCGATTAAAATCTGTAGCACATTTACCATGGAAAGCAATGACTTACAAAGTAAGTATTATTAATAACTTAAAAGATCCTATAATTTCCAAAGTGGCAGTTGTCACAGGATTGAAAAGCGTCATTCCTGCTTTTTCAAATTTTTTCTTAAGCATATAGCTTTATTTGTCATACAATCAATTCCATTCGGTTTTCGTACTCAAACAACATCACCAATCTTCTCATAAGTGTGTTTTGAAAGTAAATCCAATAAATAAATAAAATCAATTGGCTACGTCCTACAAAACTTGTCATCTTTCAGTGAGCTTTTTAAAACCATTGTTGTCCCTCACTTACCTTGTGAAATAAAATGTAGAAAATGATGTCAAGTTCATAAAGCTTAAATGAAACAGTTATCCAAGTACTCTCTGGTTTTCGCTGGTTCTCTAACTGAAATCGATTTCAGATTGAATATACTTTTAATTCATATGTCCTATAGTTTTTAAACGTTTATTACTATTATTATTATTTTTTTAATTAGTTTTCATCAATTTTCTCTTAAAAAGGGAATTTATCAGTTTTTATTTTCTATGGTTTTACTTTTTTCCAGGCATTCAATACTTTTATTGATGACTTTTTCGCATTCATCATCGTAATGCCTACATCACATCGTATTGCTTGTTTACGTGATGATTTAATATTTTTAATCTATTTATATCAACGATGGTATGTCAGTTTACTATGCTTCATATTTATTTGTTTCTAATTCGACTTGATGGGTCTTGTTTCATATTAGGATTTCTTGGGGTATCTTTCTATTCGATAGTTATTTGACAAGCAAAATCTTTTATATATAGTACGAATAATGAAACTCAATATTAACTAGGTATTGTAGGAGATAAGATTTTAATTTGTCAATAAAAATGGAGGTGAATTTGTATATTGCATTTGACTAACTCTCTTCTCTAACTAAGTATTTGATTGGTATTTATGTCTTCATGTATCTACCATTTCACTTATTCTCTTAACCAATCCTTCATAACAGTAGTTTAGTACCTCAAGTTACAACCTATCAGTATTAAAGCAGCCTTTCTAGGTTCTGTTTTTCAGTATTTCAGATTCAGTGGATAACCCTAGAGCAGACTCTTATCTAGTTAATCTAGTTCATTGATCAGTGTCGTAATATTAAGTGTCAGTCAGTCAGTAACAACGTAGAACTTCGTACGTACGTACATCAGTTCGAGTTGCCATACCACATTAGCACAGAGATGCAGCGGTCGATTCAAATCCCGTAGTGACAGAGGTAGTAAGAGTATAAGCAGTAATCGGGAAGATTAGTGTTTGGAGATGTTATTTAAAGAGTATAATACAGTGAAATAAATTTGAGAAGAGAAAAAGAGACAAGGGGGATTCAAGAGATTGAAATTTGGGAGAACACAGAGAGTGTATGCGCCTGCGCCATGGCAAACGATTTTCAGCCATGTCATTCAAGGTCTCTAACCATCGGTTACTATCATCTCGCGGTCCCCAATCAGATAGTCTACACCTACCAACATAGCTCAGACCACTTGTCAGTCACTTCATGGACTTGTGCCATGTTCTGGTCTGGCCGCCCCTATCTTTCTTCCAACCTACTCCTATACCACTGAACATCGCACGTCGAGGCAGTCGGTCGTTGGGCATACGTAACACGTGTCCCAGCCATCTCAACTGATGAAGTTTCACTACGTCATAAATTGATTTGCCATCCTTACTTAGTACCCGTTTCCTAACAACTGCATTACTTACTCGATGGTCCCAGGATATATGAGCAATGTTTCGAAGACACCTATGATCAAATACTAGTAACCTACGAATATCCTCTACTCTTACCGGTCATGTTTCACTGCCATAAAGTAGGACGGGACGAACTGCTGCGCAGTAAACTCGTCCTTTGGTGGATAGACGGATATCTCGCCTACGCCATAAATGACGCAAGTTGGCGAAAGCAAGCTAGTCGAGCCTTCTGTATGCGTGCTGAGATTTCGTCACACACCAGACCACAGGGGTTGATGATCCTTCCAAGATAAGTGAAGCGATCGACACGTTCAATTACTTTACTCCCTATCATTAGTTCGGGTGTCAATGCAACCCAATCCTGAAGCAACATTTTGGATTTCGAGGGAGAGAATCGCATCCCGAACATGCTTGCATTGTTGCTTAGAGTGGTCAGAAGACTGCATTTTGTGAGCGTCTTCACCAAACAAAACTATGTCATCAGCATATTCTAAGTCAACAAGTGGATCTCCCGGTAGAAGTTCAACCCCTGGAAATCCAGACGAGGAAAGTGTTATCTCTAAAAGTACGTCGATGTCAAAGTTGAACAAGAATGGAGAGAGTGGACAGCCCTGACGAACACCACTTGAGGTAATCAATTCTGATGACAGTTCGCCATAAGCTCTCACTCTACCAGTTGTGTTCGAGTAGAGAGCCTTTATAAGGTTAATGTACTTCTTTGGTACTCCTTTCAGTGACAAACACTGCCATAGAACCTCACGATCAACAGAGTCGAATGCCGCCTTAAGGTCGAGAAATACTACGATTGTGGGGCGTCTGAATGTGTGTCTGTGTTTTAGAACCTGACGTAGTGTGAATATCTGGTCTATACAACCACGTCCAGGTGGAAAACCAGCCTGATTTTCTCTAGTCTGTTCTTCACGAGCTTTGGTTAGGCGTCGAAGTATTATTGAAGCTAATATTTTAGACACTATATTAGTCAAACTGATTCCTCTGTGATTGTCATAAGAGAACTTTTGTCCTTTCTTATAGACTGGTACAATCAGTGATTGAGACCAGTCAGATGGGATTACGAATATTAAGTGTAATAAATGGTATTCTTAATTCTAATGATCATCTAAGGTCATGTGAGATATGTAAAGTCATTGGTGATTTTATTGAATTTTTTGCACAAACAATAGTCGAATATAAGAGGAAAACAAACATAATACCATATTTTATTAAATTATTGGTAAAATATTCACTTTTTGCTAGATATAACCATTTATTTTTTCATTCTAAATTACTTATTGTTTCTATTCAGGCTTTATCCGGTAGACAAATCACGTATCAATGAATTTAGTGAAATGACTGATGATAATTTCCAGTCAAAGTCTACTTCTGATGTTACAAGTTCTAACAGTGATAAAGGGAAATCTAAACTAGCATGATTAAATTATTTATTGGTGTTGTTCTTGTGATTATTCGTATAGTCTGGCTTTTTATCGATGTATCCAAGATGACCGTTATTTTATTCTATTCTGTTTTGTTTTATATGTTTTATTTCCGTCTTAACTCATTTGTATATTTGTCAAATGTGAATATTTTTTGTTAGTTAAATAATCAGTTATTCTTATGGTTTTATGTTTATTCAATGGACTGTTTGGTCATTATATTGATCAAAACAATATCATCTCACAAACTTACTATCTATGTACAATTTTACTGTACTAGGTTATATGACAACTATTATACTAACCTGGCTACCAAAAGTTCGGTAGGCATAGCTTCTATGAATAAGACCATCATGTAGCGTGAAATAAACATGCGGATTACCATTCTTATCGATATTTGTTCATCCCGTTTGAGATTTTCAGCCATAAATTACGATTGTATTGTGAATTCAAACTATGAATTGTTTATTCCTTGATGGATTAAAACAGTCTACAATAATCTACTATATTAAAGACTGGACCAGTTATGTCTCAGTACTTTGTATTTCCCATTTAATTAAAAAGACAGCGAATTCATTACAGTCAGACGAATTTTCGTCCCTATTTCTGAAAACATTCAAAAGATCTCGTTGATCATAGATGCTAAAGTTCATAAAAGCACAGTAGCTTCATCGTTACTTAATATCGCCCATATCAATCAGTCGTCTACAACGTAGGATCAGGCACATATATGCATCGGTCGAAGTTGCCACACCTCATTAGCACAACAAGATGAACATCAAATTAATAGAAGTAGTTACTTCAATGGCAGTAGTATATATAAAAAAGATTGCATATAAAAATATGATACAGAGAAGAATTAGTTCGTAGAAAGAAAGGTACAACGTGATTTTAATCTCAAGGTGTGAGGGAGGATAAAGAGTGTATAGACCTCCGTCATTGTGATGGATTCTGAGCCATGTCACCCAGAATCTCCAACCATTGGTTAGGATCGTCACGCAGACCCCAACCAAGTAGTCTGCACCTACCAACATGTCTCACTCTAGAAGTTAGTGTCTTAAAGGACTGGTGTCACGTTTTGGCTTGGCCGCCTTTAACTTCTTAACAGCACTTAAGCCCCCATGTATATCATGTTTCTAAGCTTTTCAAAATTATAATGTCTAGTACCTACGTCGAGCCCATATGGCTTATTCAAGCTCCCAGACAGACCGATTTATTCATTCTATTCACGTTACATTTTGACATTGTCAGCCATTTGCCTATTAAACTTGACTGTTTTTATGTGGGCATATGTGTGTGCACTGCTTACCCTACTCATCACGTGTCTGTAACCTATTTTTGTTTGACTAAATATTGAGTCACGCTTGGACAAATCGAGTTGGCTCACTCTCTTCCACCCCGCTTTTCCACTTCATATTTTGGATGTCTGTCTGGATAAACGAATGCTTGAAATAAATTCTTACAACGGAACTCGTATTTGGCTTCTTGTTACCGCTGTCACACAAACAGGCTTAGTGTAGATAGTATACGGAGAGAAGTTGGTGATTTATGTTCATTGCATATTTGTACGATCTAATTGTCGAATTGAAGGGCTACAAAAATCAATTAATGAACAAAAGAACTGGATTCCATTAGTTTTTGCTGAAGAATTTACAATCGGATTACTTTCGTGGTTTTTATATATCAAAAAAGTTATTCAGTAAATAATGATAAAAATAATTGTTTGTTCATTCATTTAATTATTTCGGAAATTACTTTACAACCGTGACCAATAATTATTAGTAAAAATGTAAGCCAATAGTTATTTATAAACAGAGATGGATGATGGCTAGCAGTGTAATCCAGGATGTGCGTTTTGTTCTTTTTGGGACTCGTCGTCTAGATGTACCTAGATTCGAGAGTTTATATCCACTCCGTGACTCGAACTCAGTACCTTTCTCTCCGAATGCTGTTGCATTATCCATTTAGTTACTGAATCCGGATTTATTTATCAATAAATAAATAAATATTGCATAGGTTTTTACTAACCAACGAACCGTTTTTCGTATAGAAAAATTAACTGATATTACGTGATACTAGTATCGAACATTCTGTAACTATAGAAGTTAATCTATCAATATGTATTTGTGTAATTACTTACTTAGGCCTGTTACTCCTCGTGAAGGAGCATAAGCCGCTCACCAGTATTCTCCACCCAACCCTGTCCTGGGCAATCTTTTCCAGTTGTTATTCATCCTTTCCATATCTGCTTCTATTTCCTGACGTAATGTGTTCTTTGGCCTTCCTCTTTTCTGCTTCACTTCAAGATTCCAAGTTAGCACTTGTCTCGTGATGCAGTTTGATGGTTTGCGTAATGTATGCCCTACCCATTTCCATCGTCTTTTCCTAATTTCTTCAGCTGGAAGCTGGTTCGTTCTCTCCCGGAGAAGGCTGTTGCTGATTGTATCCGGCCAATGGATGTTGAGTATCTTGCGTAGACAACCATTTATAAATACTTCTACCTTCTTGATGGTGGTTGTGGTATTCCTTCAAGTTTCAGCTCTGTACAGTAGAACTGTCTTGACGTTGGTATTGAAGATTCTCACTATGACATTGGTTGAAAGTTATTTTGAGTTCCATATGTTCTTCAATTGTAGGAATGCGGCCCTTGCTTTGCCAATCCTCGCCTTTACGTCTGCATCTGAGCCCCCTTGTTCGTCGATGATGCTTCCCAGGTATATGAAGGGTTCTACATCTTCCAAAGTTTCGCTATCAAGAGTAATTGGATTGCAGTTCTCCGTGTTGTATTTGATGACCTTTGTGTTCCCCATGTGTATGTTGAGGCCTACTGATGCAGAGACTGCTGCTACACTGGTTGTCTTTATCTGTATTTGTTCGTGTGTATGCGATAGAAAGGCTAGGTCATCTGCCATTATTTATTACATGATAAAATCGTCTACTTATAAAAATTCATAATTCGAAGTCAACAGGTAAAGTGATTATTTGTATGTAGTTGATATGAAAATGACATTGATCATTAGTAACTGACTAGTTATTTAATTTAAACCCTAAATATAAACCTTTATTGATGGTTTTCGATACACATAAATAATCTCCAGTACATTTTGGTAATAATACTTAAAGTTATTTACTACTTGAGATTGCTCTTACTTTTTTGCCAATCAAATTTCAGTAAATTAATAATTGTTATATTTGTCTCCTTGTGTCATCCTCAAGACATAACTGATATTTTATATGATTCTTTTTATTTCAACGGAAATTCATCTGAAATTTTTTTATTTATACCCTGTAAAGTCTTTTTGAGAAACAATTTCTTAGTCATGAAATAGAGCACAACAAAACTTTTGATTACATACATCGTCACTTATTTTATCTACATTGTTATTGAAATGAATAAAAAAGAATATACCGATATTGTAATTTACCTTCTTTTAATTTTAGTACACAATATCTTGAAAGCATTATACAATTGTTCAATACCTTATGAATTATTTTAAGCATATATGTTGTTTAGTTTTGATTAATACAGACAGTGTCCGTTGATAAATATGTATTTAAAGAATAAAATGTTGTGTCCTAGTAGGGGCACATGTTTGTTTCTCATTATACTATGAACTAGAAGTTTAATCAAGTAGTTTGATAAATTTTCAATGTAAACCATTAGAAAATCCCTTAGTTTATGTTAATTAATAAGTGGTATTCAAGAAAGCATCTGTAAACACAAACTGACTAAGTGATCTTAACATACCATAATATCAAAGGATAACATTAATACCATCCGTTTGTTAATCATGGAGCACAAATTTACGTATACACAGACTACATAACGAAAACTTGACGTGATTAGAAATTATTTTTTCATGTATAGTAGAAGAAAAATTCATCTGTAATTTATTGACTATCCAGCGATGTCAAGCTTTGATCATGTTCGTTGCTTATCGCTACGGTATAATAACAAACAACCATTCACAAATCTTATGGGTCACTGGCAATGGCTGTGATTATGATACAGGATAATATGGGTTTGAATATCATGGAAAATATCAGTTTCATCCAAATTTCAGACACTGTCGAGTGGTAATCAATTAAGTACCTCAACGTTTATGAGAAACTGTATGAAAAGATTTTTGACAAAAGAACTTCCGAATTGGCAAATGATCAGTCATTTGAAGAAAAATTATTTTCGTTTACATTTGAAAGCCGAATAATATATTTATTCACGTAAAACGATTGTTGGTTTCCGATGAACTAACTGTCATTTTACCGACAGACTGTTTGTTATGTGTTGATTGACATCTAACAATTACTTACTTATTTACGCCTGTTACTCTTCGTGAAGGAGCATAGGCCGCTCACCAGGACATCTAACAATGGTTTAATAATTTAAGCACTAAGCTTTCATTCAATAAGTTGCAGTTTTGAACACCACGATCTACCTTAATAGAATGGGACAGCTGAGTAGAATCACCAGCATTGTGACAAAACATTTCACGTCACGTAATTTACATAAATCTGTATTTCCTTATTAAGTTGATTTCTCATTACTTCTATAGTCTTTATTGTTAGCAACTTATAAACAGAATGAAATTAGATGATGTAACAACTACCTGAAACAAAGTTTATTATTTTTGTAAGATACTTCAGCTCAATGTCGTATGATTGAACACGGATTCACTTAAAACCCACTTCTGTTTTTATTTTCCAGATTTATTTCAAATGACCGCTATGAACAACCTGTCATTATAACAGAATATATACTGACTACTCATTTGAAACTATTTGTACAACCTAAAGTTTGGATTAAACGGTAATACACTAACTTACGTACTTACTTACGCCTGTTACTTCTAATGGAGCATAAGCCGCCGACCAGCATTCTCCAACCCACTCTGTCCTGGGCCTTCTTTTCTAGTTCCATCCAATTCTTGTTCATTTTTCTCATGTCTATCTCCATTTCCCGGCGTAATGTGTTCTTTGGTCTTCCTTTCCTCCTTCGGCCTTGAGGATTCCATGTGAGGGTTTGTCTTGTGACGCAGTTGGGTGCTTTCCTCAATGTAAGTCCTATCCACTTCCAACGCTTCTTCCTAATTTCTTCCTCCACTGGGATCTGGTTTGTTCTCTCCCACAGTACGTTGTTGCTAATAGTGTCCGGCCAATGGATCCAAAGTATTTTGCGTAGACAACTGTTAATAAACATCTGTATTTTCTGGATGATGGATTTCGTAGTTCTCCACGTTTCTGCCCCATATAGTAGAACTGTCTTGTCATTTGTATTGAAAATCCTGACCTTGGTGTTGGTTGACAGACAGTTGTTTTTAGTTCCAGATGTTCTTCAGTCGTAAATATACTGCTCTTGCTTTGCCGATCCGCGCTTTCACATCTGCAATACACTAACTAGTTAATAATATTTGTTAATTCTAAGCTGAAGAAAAATGAATTGAAAAAAAATCTTTCATTTTTTTCAACTTATCATAAAAGGAAATCACATTCAGCTATTTACCAACTTGTACTAATAATTTACATTATTTACATGGATATCATTTATTTGTGATTTCCGTAACGAACTTGTTTATTTCCTTCTTTCTTTGACATTTAAATAATCAACAATCATAAAAAAACACCAACTTTTAAAATTTCATATGCTAATCACTCTATTCATTCTTCCATTTTTTGTGTTATTTAACTTTCAGATTGCAATTTAATCATACATAACTACATATAAAGATAAGTATCTTTTTTTTCATAAACGAATCTAGTTATTATTGAATGACCTTCAGTAAACATTATGAAAAATTGTAATTGTATCTTGTTCTTTTCCCTCTGTCTTCGTTT